TCTTCATTCACCTAGATTAATCAGAATAAAACTTCATGTAGTTCCTAAGGAGATTGACATAAATATCACAGACAAAAAGAAAGATTTGCAGGTGATGTCCCTGTGGGAATACGACTGCTTTCTTGCATGGTGATTTGCTTCCACTTCCCAGGTTTTGAGCATGATAGGCAGTCAGAAGGTCTGCATGTCAAAAGCAGAATGTTTTCATCATTAACTTAAGTTGAGGGAGTTTATGATTGGCTGGATTACAATGTAGAAAGTGAATAGCTTTACAGTGAAGTATGTAGAGTTTGAAATTATTTAGGATGTCCACTTCTTGAGGAGGGAAACATTAGGTAGTAGTTGGCAATGAGCAATGAAATGTAAACCAGTAACATAGCAGGGTCACAGGGTTTCTTTGAAATTGGCTTTAATGAATAGTTAAGTAACTTGTAGAGCAACAGCAGGTATACCAACTCTCTAGAATAAATAGGTAGAGACAAAGGGAGTCAATTAAGAAATATATCAGGAAAGCAAGATCAATTAATTGGATGAACTCTTGATAGAATCTCAGAGGTCATCGTAGAGTCAGGATTTATGGCCAGAGGTTTCTCAAATTTCAGAAGAGAAATTTTTTTGGTAGTGCAGGTGCACTAAGGTAAATTCTGTCTGGCCACTGACTCCAGTACCCACATTAACATAGGTTTAACTTGTAGATGAAGCCCCCCTCAATAGGATGACCACCATGACTGTTCCAGAGAGGACCAACTAGGGTCAAAAACTACTGCTCAACATGAAGGAGAAATTGAACATCTGATTGGTGAAGAGGGCAGCAGTTGGACCCCAGTTCTCTGGGCAAACTTTGAACAGCAATAAATTTGAAAATAGCACTCTTTGTCATTATCCTCTCAGAGACTACCCACTGTCCCTCTTCAGAGCACTTTTTGCTTGAGTCTTACTTTACTTTCACTTACAATGAAGTTTTGTTGCTTGGCTTTTCATGTCTGACTTTCAAGTTTCTTTCATTGGAACACAAGAATCAAGGAATGGAGCTTAAGCTCCCTACTCCTGTGACAGAAATACCAAAGAAGGAAGCTTCTACATGAAAATGTTTTTAAGGGAAAAAACGTATCCTCATCATGATTTATTTTGCCCTAGGGAAACACCACCAAGCCAGTGAAACACAGAATGTGATTGCATCAGACAAAGCCGAAATGTCAGCTGTGCATGAACATGAGCACAGCCACAACCACACGCAGCTGCACGCCTACATCGGTGTGTCCCTTGTACTGGGCTTCGTTTTTATGTTGCTGGTGGACCAGATTGGCAACTCCCATGTTCATGCTAGTGAAGGTGAGTGGCTCCAGGGCCTCCTGGACAGCATGATAAATTTGCAGTTTGAAAGCTTACTAACAATTGAATATTCAATCTGCGTTATTGGTCTTACTTAAGTACTAAAACCAACTGTCTCTGGTGCCAGGGAACATTTTTTATTCAGTTGGGGGAGCTAGTGAGTTGTAGTATCACTTTCGATTGAGAGTCTAGGACAGAGGTTCTTAACCTATTTTATACTGTGACCCCTTAAACAGTTTAAAGCCGATGGACCTTTTATTGGAATATTGGGTTTTTTAAAAATATATATTTTTTAGTTGTAGTCGGACACAATACTTTTATTTTATTTATTTTTATGTGGTGTTGAGGCTTGAACCCAGGGCCTCGCACATGCTAGGCGAGCGCTTTACCACTGAGCCACATCCCCAGGCCTGTAATATTGTTTTTAAATGCAAAAAGCATAGTACTCAAGACTAGAGAGAAAATCAATTATGT